GTCTCTGGTCTGGTCTGTGGTCCAGTCCCTGGTCTAACCCTGGCCTTGGTCTGGTCTGGTCTTGGTCTTGGTCTGGTCTCTGGTCTGGTCCCTGGTCTAACCCCGGTCTTGGTCGGGTCTTGGTCTGGTTTCAGTCGTCTAATGGGACCATGATGTATCAGAACTCGGTGCTGTTGCCCCCGGCGATGGAGACGGTGGCCGACATGTCCGTTTGAGTTCCCCGAGATCAGCATCGACTTCGACATGAGCGTGAGTGTGGAGCCCGACACCGACAACCCCGAGTACGGCACTCACAGAGACCCGAGAACCCCGACAGCCCCAAGAACAACCCCGAGAACCCCGACAACCCCAAGAACAACCCCGAGAACCCCGAGAACAACCCCGACAACAACCCCGACAACCCCGAGTACGGCACTCACAGAGACCCGAGAACAAACCCCGACAACCCCAAGAACAACCCCGAGAACCCCGACAACAACCCCGACAACCCCGAGTACGGCACTCACAGAGACCCGAGAACAACCCCGACAACCCAAGAACAACCCCGAGAACCCCGACAACCCCAAGAACCCCGAAACCCCGACAACCCCCAAGAACAACCCCGAGAACCCCGACAACAAAACCCGACAACCCCGAGTACGGCACTCACAGAGACCCGAGAACAACCCCGACAACCCCAAGAACAACCCCGAAACCCGACAACAACCCCGACAACCCCGACAACCCCGAGTACGGCACTCACAGAGACCCGAGAACCCCGACAACCCCAAGAAACAACCCCGAGAACCCCGACAACCCCAAGAACAACCCCAAGAACCCCGACAACAACCCCGACAACCCCGAGTACGGCACTCACAGAGACCCGAGAACAACACCGACAACAACCCCGACAACCACGACAACAACCCCTACAACCACAACAACAACCAAGACAACAACCCCGACAACTCCGACAACAACCCAACAACAACCCGACAACCACGACAACAACCCCGACAACCACAACAACAACAACAACAACACCACAACAACAACCACGACAACAACCCCTACAACCACAACAACAACCACAACAACAACCCCTACAACCACAACAACAACCACGACAACAACCCCGACAACTCCGACAACAACCCCAACAACAACCACGACAACAACCCCTACAACCACAACAACAACCACAACAACAACCACGACAACCACAACAACAACCACGACAACAACCCCGACAACCCTGACAACAACCCCTACAACCACAACAACAACCACGACAACAACCCCGATAACAAGCCCGACAACAACCCCCACAACCTCGACAACAACCCCCACAACCCCGACAACAACCCCACAATCTCGACAACAACCCGACAACAAACCCCGACAACAACCCCTCGACAACCCCAACACAACCCCGACAACAACACCCGACAACAACCTCGACAACCCCAACAACAACCCCGACAACCCTGACAACAACCCCAACAACAACCCCGACAACCCCGACAAACCCCGACACAACCCACAACCCCGACAAACCCCACAACCCCGACAACAACCCCCACAACCTCAACAACAACCCCCACAACCCCGACAACAACCCCCCACAACAACCCCGACAACTCTGACAACAACCCCGACAACAACCCCGACAACTCCGACAACCCTGACAACAACCCCGACAACAACCCCGACAAACAACCTCGACAACCCCAAACAACAACCCCGACAACAACCTCGACAACCCCAACAACAACCCCGACAACCCTGACAACAACCAACCGACAACAACCCCGACAACCCGACAACAACCCGACAACAACCTCGACAACCCCGACAACAACCCCGACAACCCCGACAACAACCCCGACAACTCCGACAACACCCCGACAACAAACCCCGACAACCCCGACAACCCTGACAACAACCCCGACAACCCCGACAACAACCTCGACAACCCCGACAACAACCCTGACAACCCTGACAACAACCCCGACAACCCTGACAACAACCCCGACAACCCTGACAACAACCCCGACAACAACCCCAACAACAACCCCGACAACAACCCTGACAACTCCGACAACAACCCCAACAACAACCCTGACAACAACCCTGACAACCCTGACAACTCCGACAACAACCCCGACAACAACCCAGACAACAACCCCGACAACAACCCGAACAACAACCCCGACAACAACCCCGACAACCCTGACAACCCCCGACAACAACCCCGACAACACCGACAACAACCCCGACAACACCGACAACAAACCCCGACAAACCGACAACAACCCAACTCCGACAACAACCCGACAAAACACCCCGACAACAACCCCGACAACACAACCCGACAACAACCCAACAACCCCGACAACAACCCCGACAACAACCCCGACAACTCCGACAACAACCCCGACAACCCCGACAACAACCGACAACAACCCCGACAACAACCCCGACAACAACCCCGACAACCCCGACAACAACCCCCGACAACAACCCCGACAACAACCCGACAACAACCCCGACAACTCCGACAACAACCCCCACAATAACCCCGACAACAACCCCGACAACAACCCCGACAACAACCCCGACAACAACCCCGACAACAACTCCGACAACAACCCCCACAATAACCCCAACAACTCTCTCTGACGCTCCTCCTCTTCCTCTCTTCTCAGTGGAGTGGTGGAGTACTCGTCGTCCATCCTGGGGAATTATTCCGTCTCTCTCTCGGTGTTCCTGGACGCCGCTCACCGTTTGGCCGTAGACACCCATACGCGGATCCAGCTGGACTCCCCGGTCTACTTCGTGGTCCAGACCCACGGCCTGAACCTGAACCCGGTCCTGGTCCTGGACTCGTGCTGGGCCACGAGCGAATAGACCCCAACCACGTCCAGAGTACTACCTGATCAAGAACAGGTCTGAACCAGGACTAGACCAGGACTAAACCAAGACTGAACCAGGACTAGACCAGGACTAAACCAAGACTGAACCAGGACTAGACCAGGAGTAAACCAGGACTAAACCAGACCTAAATCCAGTCTAAACCCAGTCTAAATTAGGTATAATTCTGGTCTAAACCCGATCTAAATCTGGTCTAAACCTTGATCTAAACCCGATCTAAACCCGGTCTAAACCTGGTCTAAACCCGATCTAAACCTGGTCTAAACCCGATCTAAACCCTAGACCTAGACCCCTGACCCCCTGACCTACACGTCCTGAACCTCTACCTCAAGAACCTCCTCCTGAACCTCTACCTCAAGAACCTCCTCCTGAACCTCTACCTCAAGAACCTCCTGAACCTCTACCTCAAGAACCTTCTCCTGAACCTCTACCTCAAGAACCTCCTCCTGAACCTCTACCTCAAGAACCTCCTGAACCTCTACCTCAAGAACCTCCTGAACCTCTACCTCAAGAACCTCCTGAACCTCTACCTCAAGAACCTCCTGAACCTCCTCCTGAACCTCCTGAACCTCTACCTCAAGAACCTCCTCCTGAACCTCCTGAACCTCTACCTCAAGAACGTCCTCCTGAACGTCCTCCTGAACCTCTACCTCAAGAACCTCCTGAACCTCCTCCTGAACCTCTACCTCTAGAACCTCCTGAACCTCTACCTCAAGAACCTCCTGAACCTCTACCTCAAGAACCTCCTGAACCTCCTCCTGAACCTCTACCTCAAGAACCTCCTGAACCTTCTGAACCTCCTCCTCCTGAACCTCCACCTCCTGAACCTCTACCTCAAGAACCTCCTCAACCTTCTGAACCTCCTCCTCCTGAACCTCCTGAACCTCCACCTCCTGAACCTCCTCCTTCTGAACCTCCTGAACCTCCACCTCCTGAACCTCCTCCTGAACCTCTACCTCAAGAACCTCCTGAACCTTCTGAACCTCCTCCTCCTGAACCTCTACTTCAAGAACCTCCTGAACCTCCTCCTCCTGAACCTCTACTTCAAGAACCTCCTGAACCTTCTGAACCTCCTCCTCCTGAACCTCTACTTCAAGAACCTCCTCCTGAACCTCTACTTCAAGAACCTCCTGAACCTCCTGAACCTCCTCCTCCTGAACTTCCTGAATCTCCCCTATTAGTACTTTTACTCGAGTAGTACTCTTTGGGAAATGTGTACTTTCTGAATACTGTTGTGTGATTGGTCGGTCTCAGCTGTCAGTCAACCCGTGGCACCGTAGTCCCGCCCCCCCGGCTGTAGTGTCGTGTGATTGGCTCAGAAGAACGTAAACAAACGTGTTTGGTTAAGAGAACAGCTGGGTTTGATTGACAGCTCATTCAACCAATCACAGACAAGTCTGAGACAAAAAATAATAATAAAATGGGAAATGAAGGGAAAAAAAATCAAGTGTCAAGAGTTTTTTTTTTTTTTTTTTAAATACAGAGTCAACAAAGGACTGAACCAAGACTAAACCAGTTCTGAACCAGGACTACTTTCTTTCTTTTCGTCTTCTTGCTTCCCTGTTATCTCACCTCCTTGTTTTCCCATTACCTTGCTTCCTTGTGTCCTTGCTTCCCAGTTACTTGCTTCCTCGTCTCCTTTCCATGTTACCTTTCCTCATCTCCTTTCCTCGTCTCCTTTCCTCATCTCCTTTCCTCGTCACCTTTCCTCGTCACCTTGCTTCCTCGTCACCTTTCCTCGTTACCTTTACTCATCTCCTTGCTCCCTCGTCTCCTTTCCTCATCTCCTTACTTCCTCGTCACCTTTCCTCGTCTCTTTGCTTCCTCGTCACCTTTCCTCGTTACCTTTACTCATCTCCTTGCTTCCTCGTCTCCTTGCTTCCTCATCACCTTTCCTTATCTCCTTGCTTCCTCGTCACCTTTCCTCGTCTCCTTGCTTCCTTTCCTCGTCACCTCTCCTCGTTACCTTTCCTCGCCTCCTTTCCTCGTCTCCTTCCCTCGTCACCTTTCCTCGTCTCCTTTCTCTTGTGTGAGCGTCTCCAGCATCAGAACAAAGTGAAACAAACAGAAAAAGAAAGAAAAAGACATTTTGACAATAGAACAATCTCTTTTATTTGTTTTTATTTACAGAGGAAGTGGGCGTGGTCAGGTGTGTAGGGGGCGGGGTTTGTCCTTATATGGGCGTAGTGTTGCTGATGTTTCTGTTTCTTTGGGTTTTGTTCAGATTTTTCCGCACAGACAAGTTTCTTCGGAGCGTTTTGACACTTTGAGCTGCTCCTCTTCTTCTTCTTCTTCACTCCACACGTTCACACCATCTGAAATTTTAATTAAATCATTCAAAAATGTAAATATTCTCCGTGGACTTTACGTGGAAATAATCATTCTGAATCAAGGTTTACACAGAAAACTGGTGAAATGTTCAACCTGAGCCCAAGACGTGGATCAAAGTCCCAAACCAGGACCATGTTCAGTCCCGGTTCAGATCTGGTTCAGTCCTGTTTTAGTCCTGGTTCAGTCCTGGTCTAGTCCCGGTTTAGTCCCGGTCTAGTCCAGGTTCAGTCCCGGTCTAGTCCAGGTTCAGTCCCGGTCTAGTCCAGGTTCAGTCCCGGTCTAGTCCAGGTTCAGTCCCGGTTTAGTCCCGGTCTAGTCCCGGTCTAGTCCAAGTTCAGTCCTGGTTCAGTACCGGTTCAGTCCTGGTCTAGTCCTGGTTCAGTCCAAGTTCAGTCCTGGTCTAGTCCTGGTTCAGTCCAAGTTCAGTCCTGGTTCAGTCCCGGTTTAGTCCCGGTCTAGTCCCGGTTCAGTCCTCGTGGCTCTTGTTTCTTTTTGACGTCGTTTTAGATCAAACTTGTGATTTAAAGTTGAGCTCTGAAATAATCCCGGGTCTGTGCAGAGACTCTGAAGTGAAAGTCTTGATTTATTTGATTTATTTGTGTTTTTCGCCGTCACAAACGTCACAAACGTCACAAACGTCACAAACGTCACAAACGTCTCACTCGTCATGTTTAAACTTCTCATCTTCTCAAAACGACGATATTAAACTTGTCCATGAGCCCGGGCCCCTCCAGCAGGAACACGACCATACATGGGCACAGCGCCGACAGGAAGTCCTCCAAAGTGCAGAGTGGTGGGCGTGGCTTCATTGGGCGTGGCCTGGGGGGCGTGGCTTGGTCTGGTTTGGCGCAGTGTTGGGACCTGCTGATTGGTGAATCCATGTGTCGTTCGTTCATTTGTTTTTCAAAATAAAACCAAAAATAGTATAAAGGAAAAAACAACAACGATTTTCTTCATTATTTGTCTCCAAAACCAAAATGAAAAAAAAAACAAAAAACAAATAAAGATTTGTTTTTTCAGTTTTCGATTTTGTGTTTAAATGAAAAATGGAAAAAACAGAAAACTGAACCGGGACTGAACCAGGACTGAACTAATTTCAGTCCCGGTCTCAATCACGGTCTGGTCCTGGATCTGGTTCAGTCCTGTCCTGGTTCAGTCCTGGTTTAGACCTGGTTTAGACCTGGTTTTGTCCTGGTTTAGTCCTGGTTTAGACCTGGTTTAGTCCAGGTTTAGACCTGATTTAGTTCTGGTTTAGTCCTGGTTTAGTCCTGATTTAGTCCTGATTTAGTCCTGGTTCAGTCCTGGTTCAGTCCTGGTTCAGTCCATTATCTGTTTTTCCATTTCGGTTTTGGAGACAAGTAATTTTAAAAATCTTAGTTTTTTTTGTTTTGTAAATTTTTTTTATTTTTATTTTGAAAAACAAATGACACATGGATTTTCCTCAAACCTCCAGTGAGACACCTCAGGTCGTTGTAAAAGAGCTCAGGTCGTCTTGGAGAAGCTTGGGTCGTTGCAGAAGAGCTCAGGTCGCGTGGAGAAGCTCAGGTCATTATAGAAGAGCTCAGGTCGTCGTAGAGAATCTCAGGTCATTATAGAAGAGCTCAGGTCATTGTAGAAGAGCTCAGGTCATTATAGAAGAGCTCAAGTCATTGTAGAAGAGCTCAGGTCATTGTAGAAGAGCTCAGGTCGTTGTGGAGAAGCTCAGGTTGTCGTGGAGAAGCTCAGGTCGTCGTGGAAATGCTCAGGTCGTTGTGGAGAAGCTCGGGTCGTCGTAGAGAAGCTTGGGTCGTTGTAGAAGAGCTCAGGTCGCTGTGGAGAAGCTCAGGTCGTTGTAGAAGCTCAGGTCGTTGTAGAAGAGCTCAGGTCGTTGTAGAAGAGCTCAGGTCGTTGTAGAAGAGCTCAGGTCGTTCAGTCGTGAGAAGCTCAGGTTGTCGTGGAAATGCTCAGGTCGTCGTGGAAATGCTCAGGTCGTTGTGGAGAAGCTCGGGTCGTCGTAGAGAAGCTCGGGTCGTTGTAGAAGAGCTCAGGTCGCTGTGGAGAAGCTCAGGTCGTTGTAGAAGAGCTCAGGTCGTTGTAGAAGAGCTCAGGTCGTTGTAGAAGAGCTCAGGTCGTTGTAGAAGAGCTCAGGTCGCTGTGGAGAAGCTCAGGTCATTGTAGAAGAGCTCAGGTCGCTGTGGAGAAGCTCAGGTCGTTGTAGAAGAGCTCAGGTCGCTGTGGAGAAGCTCAGGTCATTGTAGAAGAGCTCAGGTCGTTGTAAAAGAGCTCAGGTCATCATGGAGAAGCTCGGGTCATCGTGGAGAAGTCTCTGTATTTGGCGGCTGCAGTCCTGGTCGGGGGCGTGGCTTGCGCTCGGGTGCCTATCACGTGATTGGCTGGGGTCCCGGTCGGGGGCGTGGCCTGTCCCGGTTTCCCGTCATATGATTGGCTGGCTGCGGTCGGCCGTCTCCGCCTTCTTCAGGTGAACTTTGCTGAAGCTCTGGATGGAGCTGAGCAGAGCCGCCCGACCGCCAGAGGAGGAGCCACAGGGGGAGGAGCCACAGGGGGAGGAGCCACAGGGGGAGGGGGGGAGGAGGAGGAGGGGGGGCGGCGCCTGCGGAAAAACGAAAAGCGTCAGAAATGTGACAAAATATGAACTTTGGTTTTCAAACGTGCGTCGTCAAAGCTCCTCGACGTTCACGTGACGTTTGTGTTTTTCTGAACCGTAAAGCGGGTTTTAAAAACACCTCTGACCTCTGACCTTTGACCTCTGACCCGGAGCTCAGACTCGCGAGGAGCAGAACTTCGTGTCGCGTCTCTAAAGTTTTTTTTGTTTTGTTTTTTTTCCTTGAGGAGAAAAACTTTGAGGAGGCAACGTCTGAGAAAAAAGACTGAACCAGAACTGCTTCATAAAGACCAGACCACAACTACAGACCTGGTCCTGGTTCAGTCCTGGTTTAGACCTGGTTTAGACCTGGTTTAGTCCTGGTTTAGTCCTGGTTTAGTCCTGGTTCAGTCCTGGTTCAGTCCTGGTTTAGTCCTGGTTTAGTTCTGGTTTAGTTCTGATTTAGTCCTGGTTTAGTCCTGGTTCAGTCCTGGTTCAGTTCTGGTTTAGTTCTGGTTTAGTTCTGGTTTGGTTCTGGTTTAGTCCTGGTTTAGACCTGGTTTAGTCCTGGTTTAGTTCTGGTTTAGTTCTGGTTTAGTTCTGGTTTAGACCTGGTTTAGTCCTGGTTTAGTCCTGGTTTAGTCCTGGTTTAGTCCTGGTTTAGTCCTGGTTTAGTCCTGGTTTAGTCCTGGTTTAGTCTGGTTTAGTCCTGGTTTAGACCTGGTTTAGTTCTGGTTTAGACCTGGTTTAGACCTGGTTTAGTTCTGGTTTAGTCCTGGTTTAGTCCTGGTTTAGTTCTGGTTTAGTTCTGGTTTAGTCTGGTTTAGTCCTGGTTTAGACCTGGTTTAGTCCTGGTTTAGTCCTGGTTTAGTTCTGGTTTAGTCCTGGTTTAGTCCTGGTTTAGTCCTGGTTTAGTCCTGGTTTAGTCCTGGTTTAGTTCCTGGTTTAGTCCTGGTTTAGTCCTGGTTTAGTTCCTGGTTTAGACCTGGTTTAGTCCTGGTTTAGACCTGGTTTAGTCCTGGTTTAGACCTGGTTTAGTTCTGGTTTTAGTCCTGGTTCAGTCCTGGTTCAGTCCTGGTTTAGACCTGGTTCAGTCCTGGTTCAGTCCTGGTTTAGTCCTGGTTTAGACCTGGTTTAGACCTGGTTTAGTCCTGGTTTAGTCCTGGTTTAGTCCTGGTTCAGACCTGGTTTAGTCCTGGTTTAGTCCTGGTTTAGTCCTGGTTTAGTCCTGGTTCAGTCCTGGTTTAGTCCTGGTTTAGTCCTGGTTTAGTCCTGGTTTAGTCCTGGTTTAGACCTGGTTTAGTCCTGGTTTAGTCCTGGTTTAGTCCTGGTTAGACCTGGTTTAGTCCTGGTTTAGACCTGGTTTAGTCCCAGTTTAGTCCTGGTTTAGACCTGGTTTAGTCCTGGTTTAGTCCTGGTTTAGTCCTGGTTTAGTCCTGGTTTAGTCCTGGTTTAGTCCTGGTTTAGTCCTGGTTTAGTCCTGGTTTAGTCCTGGTTTAGACCTGGTTTAGTCCTGGTTTAGTCTGGTTTAGTCCTGGTTTAGTCCTGGTTTAGTCCTGGTTTAGTTTTAGACCTGGTTTAGTCCTGGTTTAGTCCTGGTTTAGTCCTGGTTTAGTCCTGGTTTAGTCCTGGTTTAGTCCCGGTTTAGACCTGGTTTAGACCTGGTTTAGTCCTGGTTTAGTCCCGGTTTAGTCCCGGTTTAGACCTGGTTTAGACCTGGTTTAGTCCTGGTTTAGACCTGGTTTAGACCTGGTTTAGTCCTGGTTTAGTCCTGGTTTAGTCCTGGTTTAGTCCTGGTTTAGTCTTTATAACAGCAGTTCTTTGAGTTCAGATCTTGAACAAAAACTTTGACAACGAGAAGCAGAGCAACAGGAAGTGATGTCAGCAGCCGCCATCTACTTCCTGTCTGCAGCAAAACGACCCCAAAAATAATTAAAAATAAATAAATAAACAAATAAAAATATAAAAAGCTTTTATCAACCGAGTCTGAGAGTTGATAAAACAGGAAGAAAAGCTCTTCGTGTTTGCAAAGCTCTGAAGCAAAAGACGACAAAAGAAAATGAAAATAAAAACACTTTAAAAATGGAGCTTTTCCTTCACGTGCATCACCTGTTCACCCTTTGACCCTGTGACCCTTTGACCCTGTTCACCCGTTTGGACAGCGTGACGTGGACTGCGCTCACAGACACACAGGGACCAGGCAAAAGTCTCTGCCTGATCTGCGTCGCTCCGGCTGCATTTTCTTTGTTTTTTTTAAATAAACAAACACGAGTCAGTGGTGAAAATTTACTTCACTAACTTCAACTTAAATGTACGGAAGCCCTGGACGGCAAAAAAAAAAAAAGAAAAAGAAAAAAGAGGCACATTATTTGGGCTCCTTTTTTTCACCAACAGTTCCTCCCCAAAAAATAAAATACAAAATAAATTAAAAAAAAAAAAAAAAAAAAAAAGAGAGGCATGTCATTTGAGTTCCTTTTTTTTTTTCCACCAACAGCTCTCTCTAAAAACAAAAAAATACAAACTAATTTGGGCTCCATTTTTTTCACCAACATTTTTTTTTTACTCATTTTTACTGTTGACGTGGCTGATGGGAAAAAAAAACAACAAAAAAAAAAACACTCCAGAGCGCAAGTGTTTTCTCAGTATATTCGTTTAAATGCCAAAGTTCCGTACAGCTGAATATGTGGAGGAAAAGGCTCAGTAGTATTTGAGTGTAACGATGTTTGTGCAAAAAATATATATAAATAAATTAATTTTAAAATGACAAGAAACGTTCTTTTTTTTTAAGTTGTTGGTGCAAAAAAAAAAAAAAAAAATAAATTAATTAAAAAAGAACAGTTAAAGAAAAAAAAAAAAGTTTTGTTTTTTTTTGGGGTGGGGAAAAAAAAAACATGGAGCCCAAATAATGCGCCTTTTTGTTTGCCGCTCAGGGCTTCCGTATAAAGCTGTTCCAAGTCATTTTTCTGCTCGTCTCCACGGTGATGTTAATGTTTTACCTGGAAAATCTGTGGCAAAATTTACCCTCGTTAATATAACGGTACTTTTTCTTTGTTTGCCCGTGTGGTCGTTGCCGTAGCGACACCGTCTGAGCGCGTGCAGACGCACGTGAGGCAGATCAGGCAGGGACTCAAAATGGACGCAGACAGACCCAAGAGACGAGACCGAACTCCAGATCCACAAACAAGTTTCATTTAGAATAGACCTGGTTTAGTCCTGGTTCAGTCCTGGTTTAGTCCTGGTTTAGACCTGGTTTAGTCCTGGTTTAGACCTGGTTTAGACCTGGTTTAGTCCTGGTTTAGTCCTGGTTTAGTCCTGGTTTAGACCTGGTTTAGTCCTGGTTTAGTCCTGGTTTAGTCCTGGTTTAGTCCTGGTTTAGACCTGGTTTAGTCCTGGTTCAGTCCTGGTTTAGTCCTGGTTTAGTCCTGGTTTAGTCCTGGTTTAGACCTGGTTCAGTCCTTGTTTCAGTCCTGGTTTAGACCTGGTTTAGATCTGGTTTAGTCCTGGTTTAGACCTGGTTTAGTCCTGGTTTAGTCCTGGTTTAGTCCTGGTTCAGACCTGGTTTAGACCTGGTTTAGACCTGGTTTGGTCCTGGTTTAGTCCTGGTTTAGATCTGGAGTTCGCTCAGTTTAAATCTTGATCATTTTGTATTTTCAGTGAATCGTCTTAAACTTCGTTCCTTCACAGAGACACTTTAAAAATATTTAAAGTCTAATTAGGATTTAAATCTTTTTATTCGTTCTTCTTCTTCTAAATCTTTTTGTGTGTGTGTGTGTGTGTGTGTGTGTGTGGTCTTTCGGGTCGGTTTCGTCTGTGGAAGGAGTGAAGTTTGGGACGAGTCGAGATTAGGAAAAAAAAAACCTACATTACCCAGAAACACGTCAGAACTGAGCATGCTCTGATGAGAAACACACAAGAGACGAGAGAGAAAGAAAGAAAGAAAGAGAGAGAAAGAGAGAGAGGGTTAAAACTACGACTCAAGGGTGGAGGAAACGAGGAGAGGAGGAGAGAAGAAAGGAGGAGACAAGAAAGCATTAACTAGGACTCAAGTGAAATGAGAGAGGAGACAAGGAGAGAGGAAATGAGGAGAGAGAGAAGGAGATGAGGAGAGAGGAGAGGAGGAGATGAGGAGAGAAGGAGATGAGGAGAGAAGGAGATGAGGAGAGAGGAGATGAGGAGAGAGGAGATGAGGAGAGATGAGGAGATGAGGAGAGAAGAGATGAGGAGATGAGGAGAGAAGGAGATGAGGAGAGAAGGAGATGAGGAGATGAGGAGAGAAGGAGATGAGGAGAGAAGGAGATGAGGAGAGAGAAGGAGATGAGGAGAGAGAGATGAGGAGAGAGAGGAGATGAGGAGATGAGGAGAGAAGGAGATGAGGAGATGAGGAGAGAGGAGATGAGGAGATGAGGAGAGAGGAGATGAGGAGAGAAGAGAGGAGATGAGGAGAGAGAGGAGATGAGGAGAGAAGGAGATGAGGAGAGAGAGAAGGAGATGAGGAGAGAGGAGATGAGGAGAGAGGAGATGAGATGAGGAGATGAGGAGAGAAGGAGATGAGGAGAGAAGGAGATGAGGAGATGAGGAGATGAGGAGATGAGGAGATGAGGAGAGAAGGAGATGAGGAGAGAGAGGAGAGAGGAGAGAGGAGATGAGGAGAGAGGAGATGAGGAGATGAGGAGAGAGGAGAGAGGAGAGAAGGAGATGAGGAGAGAGAGGAGATGAGGAGAGAGGAGATGAGGAGATGAGGAGAGAAGGAGATGAGGAGAGAAGGAGATGAGGAGAGAGGAGATGAGGAGATGAGGAGAGAAGGAGATGAGGAGAGAAGGAGATGAGGAGAGAGGAGATGAGGAGAGAGAGAGAGGAGATGAGGAGAGAAGGAGATGAGGAGAGAAGGAGATGAGGAGAGAGGAGATGAGGAGAGAGGAGATGAGGAGCAGGTCAGATGTTACAGATGTTAGGACACTACAGTTTGCTGTTTTGTCTCAAACTTTCAGATTGAAACGTTTCCAGTGGAGAGAAGAATTTTAAATGTGACTGAGGCTTTAATGCCAATGTGAATGTGTGAATATGATTCAAGTTTTAAGAGCAGAAAAAAAGTCTCAATACTTTTGGACATTTGTCACAATCACTGTGTGTGAAATCACTGTGTGTGTGAAATCACTGTGTGTGTGAAATCACTGTGTGTGTGAAATCACTGTGTGTGTGTGTGTGTGAAATCACTGTGTGTGTGAATGTGTGTGAAATCACTGTGTGTGTGAAATCACTGTGTGTGAAATCACTGTGTGTGTGTGTGTGTGAAATCACTGTGTGTGTGAAATCACTGTGTGTGTGAAATCACTGTGTGTGTGAAATCACTGTGTGTGTGAAATCACTGTGTGTGTGAAATCATCACTGTGTGTGTGTGAAATCACTGTGTGTGTGTGTGTGAAATCACTGTGTGTGTGTGTGAAATCACTGTGTGTGTGTGTGTGTGTGAAATCACTGTGTGTGTGAAATCACTGTGTGTGTGTGTGTGTGTGTGAAATCACTGTGTGTGTGAAATCACTGTGTGTGTGAAATGTGTGTGAAATCACTGTGTGTGTGAAATCACTGTGTGTGTGTGTGTGAAATCACTGTGTGTGTGTGAAATCACTGTGTGTGAAATCACTGTGTGTGTGTGAAATCACTGTGTGTGTGTGTGTGTGTGAAATCACTGTGTGTGTGTGTGAAATCACAGTGTGTGTGTGTGAAATCACAGTGTGTGTGTGTGTGTGAAATCACAGTGTGTGTGTGTGAAATCACTGTGTGTGAAATCACTGTGTGAAATCACTGTGTGTGTGAAATCACTGTGTGTGTGAAATCACTGTGTGTGTGAAATGACTGTGTTAATTCATTCAAGTGTCAGGTCTGATTTCACACACAGTTGAGATGATTTTAAATGTTTGTTTTAAAGACTCACAGCAGACTGTCACACGCGCCGCCTCCACACACAAACAGGACGCAGCATCTTTATTTATTTATTTAATTTGTGAATTTAGATCAACTCAAAAGCCAAACCACCATTTATAAATTCAGGTTCAGGTTCAGTCCTGATTCCAGATCTTTTAAGCCACGCCCCCTGGTCCGTGTGGAAGCGTCACATGATCAACTTTATCCAATCACAACCCACCACTGAACATTTAAAGAACAGCTGATTAAACATTTAAATTACAAAAGGTTAAATTTACAGATGCAAATTAGTTCATCTGAATATTTTTGTCCAGTTTTTGTGTTAAAGCAAATATCACACAAAACCCACTCCTCTGATTTATTGTTTTAAGGAGTTGTTTTCTTTCTGTTTATTTACATTTCTTTTTTTTTGTTTAGTTTTTTTTTAAACGTTGAGACTCCAGCACTGACCTGTAGGGGGCGGCGTAGGAGACGAGGGGCACGTCGGAGGAGAACTCGCCCCAGAACCTGAAGAAAAACACTTGAAATTACAAAAAATAAAAACGAGAAAAGTATTAAAATTTACACACCAGCGTCCACAAGAGTCAGAACTGGTTTAGGTCACGTTTTGGAATCAAAATTTGTTACTCGACTCTTCAAAAAAACAAAACCAAAAAAACAAGACGAAACAATTTTTGGCGATGTTTTTCTAAATACCTGTTGACGTGTTTTAAGCTCAGGAAAAATAAAATTAAAATGATATACTTCTGTCTAAAAGAGTAAAACATTTGAACTAAAAACACTAAAAAAGTCATGAGTAAAATCTTTCTTTTTAAAGCTGCACTGTGTCACTTTTCTGAGCGTCTGTCCCGTCCTCGTCTCCATGGAGATGTCGCAGTTTTGTCTGAATAGTTTTGAGATTCATAAAAGTTCGTTGTGTCTTTGTCTTGTTTGTCGGAGCCTGGGTCTGGAATGTTCCGCAGTGTTGGAGAGGAAAGGAGAAGAAAGATCCCAAAGTCAAACATCTGGAGTCAAACCAGACTTATTATTTTTATTGTCCCGCTTTAGTCCCGCTTTAGTCCAGTTTTAGTCCCGCTTTAGTCCCGCTTTAGTCCAGTTTTAGTCGCGCTTTAGTCGCGCTTTAGTCCCGCTTTAGTCCCGCTTTAGTCCCGCTTTAGTCCCGCTTTAGTCCCGGTTTAGTCTCGGTTCAGTCTCGGTTCAGTCCCTGGTTTATTCCAGCTTTAGTTGCTTTAGTCCTTGGTTCGGTCCAGGTTCAGTCCTGCTCTAGTCCTGGTTTAGTCCTGGTTCAGTCCTGCTCTAGTCCTGCTCCTGCTGGTCCTGGTTTAGTCCTGGTTCCTGGTTCAGTCCTGCTTTAGTCCTGCTCTAGTCCTGGTTCAGTCCTGGTTTAGTCCTGCTTTAGTCCTGCTCTAGTCCTGGTTCAGTCCTGACCGGAGTTGTTGTTGTTCCGCACAGACAGTTCCTCCTCGTTCTCAAACGCAGACTGTCGAGATTTCTGAAAAACAAAAACGAGTTTCACATTAAAATGTTCAACAACAACAACAGAACTTTACTCTGAAGGGATTTATTCACCAGTGTTTTATTTTGAAGGGCTTTATTCACTAGTGTTTTATTTTGAAGGTCTTTATTCACCAGTGTTTTATTTTGAAGGGCTTTATTCACTAGTGTTTTATTTTGAAGTGTTTTTATTCACCAGTGTTTTATTTTGAAGGGCTTTATTCACCAGTGTTTTATTTTGAAGGGCTTTATTCACTAGTGTTTTATTTTGAAGGGCTTTATTCACTAGTGTTTTATTTTGAAGTGTTTTATTCACCAGTGTTTTATTTTGAAGGGCTTTATTCACCAGTGTTTTATTTTGAAGGGCTTTATTCACTAGTGTTTTATTTTGAAGGGCTTTATTTACTAGTGTTTTATTTTGTAGTGTTTTATTTTGAAGTGTTTTATTCACTAGGGTTTTATTTTGAAGGGCTTTATTCACTAGTGTTTTATTTTGTAGTGTTTTATTCTGAAGTGTTTTATTTTGAAGTGTTTTATTCTGTTGTGTTTTATTTTGAAGTGTTTTATTCTGAAGTGTTTTATTTTGAAGTGTTTTATTCTGTAGTGTTTTATTCTGTAGTGTTTTATTTTGAAGAGTTTTATTTTGAAGTGTTTTATTCTGTAGTGTTTTATTTTGAAGAGTTTTATTCTGTAGTGTTTTATTCTGTAGTGTTTTATTTTGAAGAGTTTTATTTTGAAGTGTTTTATTCTGAAGTGTTTTATTTTGAAGTGTTTTATTCTGTAGTGTTTTATTCTGTAGTGTTTTATTTTGAAGAGTTTTATTTTTAAGTGTTTTATTTGAAGTGTTTTATTTTGAAGTGTTTTATTTTGAAGTGTTTTATTCTGTAGTGTTTTATTTTGAAGTGTTTTATTTTGAAGTGTTTTATTCTGAAGTGTTTTTGAAGTGTTTTATTCTGTAGTGTTTTATTTTGAAGAGTTTTATTTTGAAGTGTTTTATTCTGTAGTGTTTTATTTTGAAGAGTTTTATTTTGAAGTGTTTTATTCTGTAGTGTTTTATTTTGAAGAGTTTTATTTTGAAGAGTTTTATTTTGAAGTGTTTTATTCTGTAGTGTTTTATTTTGAAGTACCTTCCGTGCGAGCAGCTTCCTCCTCTTCCTCTCCTCGTCGGAGCAGTGATGAGACTGAGCCCGGGTCAAACGCCGGTGCTGATGGAGCTGAGACACAAGACCCCGTTTAGACCGGGTTTAAGTCCCGTTTTACTCCCTTTTTAGTCCCTTTTTAGTCCCGGTTCAGGCCTGTTTTAGTCCTGGTTCAGTCCTGTTTTAGTCCTGGTTTAGTCCTGGTTCAGTCCTGTTTTAAACCTGGTTCAGTTCTGGTTCAGTCTTGTTTAGACCTGGTTTAGTCCTGGTTCAGTCCTGGTTTTAGTCCTGGTTCAGTCCTGTTTTAGTCCTGGTTCAGTCCTGTTTTAGTCCTGTTTTAGTCCTGTTTTAGTCCTGTTTTAGTCCTGGTTCAGTCCTGGTTTAGTCCTGGTTCAGACCTGGTTCAGTCCTGTTTTAGTCCTGGTTTAGTCCTGGTTCAGACCTGGTTCAGACCTGGTTCAGACCTGGTTTAGTCCTGGTTTAGTCCTGGTTTAGTCCTGGTTCAGACCTGTTTTAGACCTGTTTTAGTCCTGGTTCAGTCCTGGTTTAGTCCTGGTTCAGACCTGGTTTAGTCCTGGTTTAGTCCTGGTTTAGTCCTGGTTTAGTCCTGGTTCAGACCTGGTTTTAGACCTGTTTTAGACCTGGTTTAGTCCTGGTTTAGTCCTGGTTCAGACCTGGTTTAGTCCTGGTTTAGTCCTGGTTTAGTCCTGGTTTAGTCCTGGTTTAGACCTGGTTTTAGTCCTGGTTCAGACCTGGTTTTAGTCCTGGTTCAGACCTGGTTCAGACCTGGTTTAGTCCTGGTTCAGACCTGGTTTTAGTCCTGGTTTAGTCCTGGGTCAGACCTGGTTTAGACCTGGTTTAGTCCTGGTTTAGGGTTAGACCTGGTTTAGTCCTGGTTCACCTGGTTTAGTCCTGGTTTAGTCCTGGTTTAGTCCTGGTTTAGTCCCTGGTTCAGACCTGGTTTAGTGGTTTAGTCCAGGTTTAGACCTGGTTTAGACCTGGTTTAGTCCTGGTTTTAGTCCTGGTTTAGTCCTGGTTTAGTCCTGGTTTAGTCCTGGTTAGTCCTGGTTCAGACCTGGTTTAGACCTGGTTTAGTCCAGGTTTATACCTGGTTTAGACCTGGTTTAGTCCTGGGTCAGACCTGGTTTAATCCTGGTTCAGTCCTGGTTTAGTCCTGGGTCAGACCTGGTTTAATCCTGGTTCAGTCCTGGTTTAGTCCTGGGTCAGACCTGGTTTAATCCTGGTTCAGTCCTGGTTTAGTCCTGGTTCAGACCTGGTTTAGTCCTGGTTTAGTCCTGGTTTAGTCCTGGTTTAGTCCTGGGTCAGACCTGGTTCAGTCCTGGTTTAGTCCTGGTTTAGTCCTGTTCACCTGGTTAGACCTGGTTTAGTCCTGGTTTAGTCCTGGTTCCTGGTTCAGACCTGGTTTACCTGGTTTTAGTCCTGGTTTAGACCTGGTTTAGTCCTGGTTTAGTCCTGGAGACCTGGTTTAGTCCTGGTTTAGAGTTTAGACCTGGTTTAGACCTGGTTTAGTCCTGGTTTAGTCCTGGTTTAGTCCTGGTTTAGACCTGGTTTTAGACCTGGTTTAGACCTGGTTTAGTCCTGGTTTAGTCCTGGTCAGTCCTGGTTTAGTCGGTTTAGTCCTGGTTTAGTCCTGGGTCAGACCTGGTTTAATCCTGGTTCAGTCCTGGGTCAGACCTGGTTTAATCCTGGTTCAGTCCTGGTTTAGTCCTGGGTCAGACCTGGTTTAATCCTGGTTCAGTCCTGGTTTAGTCCTGGTTTAGACCTGGTTTTAGTCCTGGTTTACCTGGTTTAGACCTGGTTTAGTCCTGGTTTAGTCCTGGTTTAGTCCTGGTTTAGACCTGGTTTAGTCCTGGTTAGACCTGGTTTAGTCCTGGTTAGACCTGGTTTAAGTCCTGGTTTAGACCTGGTTTAGTCCAGGTTCAGACTGGTTTAGTCCTGGTTTAGTCCGGGTCAGACCTGGTTTAGTCCTGGTTTAGTCCTGGGTCCTGGGTTTAGTCCTGGTTTAGACCTGGTTTAGTCCTGGTTCTGGTCCTGGTTTAGACCTGTCCTGGTTTAGTCGGTTAGTCCTGGTCAGACCTGTTTTAGTCCTGGTTTAGACCT